TAGCTCCAGCGCCTCTAGCAGCTCCAGAACCTCCAGCTCCAGCGCCTCCAGCAACAGCACCTCCAGCTCTAGCGCCTCCAGCAGCAGCACCTCCAGCTCCAGCGCCTCCAGCAGCAACACCTCCAGCTCCAGCGCCTCCAGCAGCTCCAGAACCTCCAGCTCCAGCGCCTCCAGCAGCAGCACCTCTAGCTCCAATGACTCCAGCAGTAGCACCTCCAGCTCCAGCGCCTCCAGCAGCCCCAGAACCTCCAGCTCCAGCGCCACCAGTAGCAGCACCCCCAGAACCGGCACCTCCAGCCCCAGGTTCTCCGGCAGCAGCACCCCCAGAACCGGCACCTTCAGCTCCAGGGTCTCCAACACTAGAGTCGACAGCACCAGCCACAGTACCTCTAGCAGCAGCACCCCCAGAGCCAACACCTCCAGCTCCAGGAGCAGTACCAGTCCCGGCAGCTCCAGTACCTCCAGTACAAGCACCTCCAGGACCAGAGACACCAGCACTCCCAGCGCCTCCACGACAAGCAGCTCCAGCAGCATGACTCCTCAGGCGGGTACGCGACGCAAGCCACTCTCGTGCCTGCTGTGGTGAGACAGGCCTGCGTCGTGAAACGAGACCCAGAGGAACGCCAGCAGATTCAGCACCCCCCGACCCGGCACCCTCTGGCTCAGCACCCCCAGGCTCCACACCCCCCAGCACCTCACGGACAGGCTCAGCACCCCCAGGCTCCGCACTCCCCAGCACCTCACGCACAGGCTCGGCACCCCCAGACGCAGCACCCCCAGCAGCACCTCCCGCGGCAGCACCAGAGTCGCCAGTGACCTCTACAGGCTCAGCCAAGGGGGGCGGGTCAACCTGAGACACACCTGAAGGAGCAGGACCCTAAGGGGGGAGGGGGTCTACCGGAGGGGGACCTGGAGCGAGGAAAAGCGGCGGGGGAGGGAGAGGGGCAGTGCGGTAGGGGAAGAGACGGTAGAAAGGAACCGACTCGTCAAACGTGACGTCCTGAGAGGGCAGGACACGGCGCGAGGTGGGGTGGTAAAACTGCCAGCCAGGCGCGTCAGGGACAAAGCCAAGGAAGACACAGGGAATGGTGCAGGAGGAGAGCTTGTCCGCGGACGTATCGCGGACAAGGGCACGAGCAACCCAAACTCGGAAACGCGACGCATCGCCAACCTCCCCCGTCCAACGCAGTGTGGGCGAGGTCTCCGGCAAGGAGACACGGGGCCAGAGGTTGAGCTGCTGCGCGGCGTACCGGACCGCACACGGCCACAGAAACTGGGGAGCCGCCGCATGGATCAAGGAGGTACGTGCGATCTCCATGACCAAGCCAATGCGGCGCTTAGCAACCCCATTTTGCTGCGGTGAGCCCGGAAGCGTGAACGACTGCTCGATGCCCTCCCCCTGACAGAAGGCCCGCAAGAGGTCGGAGGTGAACTCACCACCTCTGTCAGAGTGCAGACGCAGGACAGGAAGGTCCTGGCGGAACCTGCGGCGGAGCTGGAGACGAACTGCTCGGATCCAAGGGATCAGGACAGCAGGGACCTCACCCTTGGTGCGCAAGGGGAAGACCGTGGTGTAACGCGAGTAGTCGTCGACAACCAGCAGAAATTACCGCTCACCGCCCTGTCCACGAACGCGGGCTGGGCCCCACACGTCCAGGTGGAGGGTCTACAGAGGAGCCTCTGTGGGGGGAAACGAGGAGGAGTGAGGAGCGGCGCGCTGCCGCCCCTCGACGCAAGAAAGGCAGGGTGGCGCAGGCAAAGCAGGGAGGGGAGGGAGAGACCTGGGAAGACCAGACACAAGGAGACGACGGTGCATGCCACGGAGACGTGGCAAGGAGGGGTGACCCAGGCGATGGTGCCAGAGAAGAGTCTGGTGCGACAGGGAGCGACACTCACAAGGGGAGGCCACCTGACCTGACGCAGACACCTGACCAGTAGCAGCTACCTGAGGAGGCGCAGTCGTCAGTGTGTAGAGACTCGACCCCGGCCGACGGGTAAACGTGGCCAGGTGACGGCCGGTCTGGGAGCACATGCAGATCGCCACACGCTGCCGACCAGGGGTGAAGGTGTCAACCCCCGCATCCTGGAGGACAGCAGTACTCACCAAGTTCGTAGAGAACGAGGGGAGGTGGATACCTGACAGTGAGCCAGACGGAACCGCCGGGCACGGGAGCACAATGGTGGACCGTGCAAGAACTGGGCCCCCTGAGGGGTCAGCCAGAGAGACTGCAACAGGTGCAGGGAGTGGTGTGAGTGCAGTACTGTCACGAAAGAAGCAGCGAGAAGCACCTGAGTCAAGCGTGAAGGTGTGCAAGACCTCAGCAGGCGCAGTACCTGAGAGAGCAGACTCGTTCGCACCTAAGGCAGCAGCCTCACCAGCACCAAGAGGACCAGTCTCTATACCGGGGTCAGGCGGCACACACAAGTAACAGTCTCCATCAGCACTAATTTCCAATGCATACATGGCAGTAATAATAGCATCATAGTCAAGAGCAAAGATGTCTACACCAGCCTTAAGCAGCTCATACCAGCGAGGGCGCTCAGCGTCCTCGCCCATCTCCTCACGCCAGGCGTCGTCAAGGCGGGAGAAGCAGCGGTGCTGGGTGTGGAACTTCCCGCATGTCTGACCCTTGCGGTCACCTGTGCGAATGACATACGGGCAGCGACCACCACCCCCAGACCTCCCACGCTGAGCAAGCCACTCACGAAGCTGCTGGGTCGTCTGGGGAATCTGCTGCTGCTGCTGTCTCTGACTAGCGCCCGTGCCTCCACCCCGACCGCCACCTCCACCGCCACCACCGCCCCGGCCGCCACCGCCCCTGCCGTTGCGGCGCCTCCCACCAGGAGCAGAAGCAGCACCAGCAGACTCAGCACCAAGGAGGTCAACAGCAGCAGCAGTAGCGAAGGAGGGGGCGAGGGGAGAGGGAGAGCACCCCTCAAATATGGGGGTGCGAGGAGCGCCACGAGCAGCAGCTACAGTGACAATGCTCTTCTCTGCTGCAAGGAGGTGCTGCTCTAGGAGGTCGACAGTGAGTTCGGTGGGACAGCGAGCAAGAAAGTGGTCCTGGACAGAGCTAAGAGTGTCAGGGAGACGGGTGACTATGAAGTGGAGCGTCCAGTACATCGGAGGTGGGTGCTTAGCACAGAAGTCTTTGGGGAGGGCGGCGCGAAGGCGGGTGTCACTAGTGCGAAGGTGGGTAATGAGATCGGCAACTGTGGCAAAGGTTGACAGCTCAGGAAACAGGTAGGGCAGCATGAGGCGGCTAAGCTCAGCTGTACCAGCGGTCTTGTGCTCGCCAAAATGCGTGAGCTCAGCTAACGGAAGATGATTGCGAACAGCTAGGAGCGCACCAGCATCACGAGTCTGCCACTGGGAACGGGCGCTAAGCTCAGCGGTGGCAGCGGGAGCGACTGAAGCACCTGACGTGTGGTCATAAAGAGAGACATCGTTCTTGCTATCGCTCGTTAGGAACAGCTGCAGGTCATCTAGCCAGGTTTCGAACTGAATTGGGCGGCCCTCGGCATCGAACGATAGAACTCGGAGGGTGGCCATAACTGCTGGCGCGGGACTAGTAGCGCAGAGCGAATGCACGCAAGCAGCAGTAGCAGTAGCAATAGCACTAGTAGCAGCACTAATAACAGCAACAGTAGAAGGAGCAGTAGCACCCTATTGCCAGGCCCCTAGGCAGCGTGGCGCGGTTCGGGCACGGCGGGGCAGTGCAGCAGCAGCAGCGTAGCAGAGGCTGCAGCGCTGGCAGAGCGGGCAGGGCACATGGCAGCGCGGGCAGGGCGCCTAGGGCAGGGCGCAGCAGGCAGCCGCGGCAGCAGGGCAGGCGGCGCACGGGGCTGCAGGGGAGCACTACAGGTGGCGCGCGGGGCGTAGCAGGCAGCCGCGGCAGAGGCAGGCGGCGCGCGGGGCTACAGGCGGCCGGCAAGGCAGCAGGGCAGGCCGTGCGCAGGGCGTAGCAGGCAGCTGCAGCAGCAGCAGGGCGGGCGCACGGAGCTGCGTGGCAGCGCGACAGGCAGCTCGCCGGGCGCGCGGGCTAGCAGGCGGGCGGCGCGCGGGCTAGCAGGGGCTGCGCGCGGGCTGCGCGGACAGCAGGCGGGTCGCGCGGGCTACCGGTGGGCGGTGCGCGGGCCAGCAGAGGCGACGCGCGGGCCAGCAGAGGGGACGCGCGGGCCTTACGGGCTGCTAACAGGGCGCGCGCGGGACTAGGGCAGGGCAGAGCGCGGGGTAGCGCGACACGGGCAGGTGGTAGGTGATGGGCCCGAAAAGAAATATCGTCCTAAGGTCCTAAGACCCTACATGCTCTTAATACCATGTTCAATAGTTAGGTAGGAAATGATGAGACTATCGAGAGAATTTGGTACAAGGGAAAACCCTAAGTGGTTGTACCCTACATTGGCTACCCCACTACAGCCTAAATAAACAAGTATAACATATACAGTTTGACACGAATCCCAGGAGATTTTTCGTACAGTACATCTCGCTTCAAGGCAAGATTCAACACTATCCTGAGTCGTCAGGGCTGAACCTACAGCGTTATCCTGAGTTTCCAGTACGCAAAATCACCTTTATACTGATTTTACAGGACAAGTTATTCCCTTACGCTGTTTTTTCAGGAGAAGCACACAACACTTATCCTGAATTCAGGAGAATCAGGATAAATTATCCTGATAATATACGCCCTGGTTCCATGTCAGCCTCCTCCGCCCTTACGTCCCATCCAGCATGACACAACCGCCGACAGAGCCCGTCACATCCGAGAACAAAAACTCCTGGTACGAGTCTGGTCTGGTCTGATCCGCACCAAACCAGACCCCGGGTGGGCCACCCGACGTGGTTCGGCGACGGCCCACAGGATTCTATCCATATCAACTGCCTGCTCCGGCTGCAATCCCTCCTCTGGTCGCATCGCATCGCATAGCGCCGCCCCCATCGAATCGAGGGAGGTTAGGTTTGAGATTTGTCCAATAACCACCAACTTCCGATTGGCCATATGCCCGAGTCGTCTCACAACCGGACCTAAGCTTGCATTCCGCTTCTACTCGAGTAGTACGAGTATGCCTCCATCCACCTTTCTCGCCGATAGTACCAGCATTTTCTCACATTGCACTCGTGACGGTACCGTCAGAAAACACGACGTCTCCCGAGGCTACTAGTGTAAGTTACCATGGCTTTCTCGTGCCGCTCCTGCTCCTCTCCCTCAGCGTCTCGCGGATCCACGCGCGCCACGGCCCCGAGATAGCCGTTGCGGACGCTCAGCCGCATTCCCGCAGCGGCATTCCCACGAATTCCAACCAGCAGTTCGACTCGCAGTCACCCGAGGTACTGCGGCATCACATGAGCTGCAATAGTTGCAATGCTAGTCGCGCGACTTGTGGTTTTCACTGGTTCCACTGTGGTTTTCCCACAGTGTGGTGTTGAATCTGACACCTGTCAAATTCTCGACACCTGTTGCCGAAAATGCTTCTTAACACAAATATGGGCTTTTTCCTTTTCGCGGGGGGCCCTCTCACGACGAGTCATCGCAGGTCGGAGCATCCGGAGGGCGCCATCCGTCCTCCAGCGGCGGCGGAGGGGCTCCGCGCAGCACCACCGGCGCGGGGAGCGGGGGCGTGGAGTCGATTGCGGAGTGGAAGCGGCGATCAGCGGAAGCGGGCGCGCACTTCTTCCCCCTGCAGCGCGCGGAAGACGCCCCCAGCAGGGACGAGCTGCACCGCTGGATTCTCGTGCCTGTGAGTGAGGGTAGGGGAGTGAAGGGGCCGAAGCAGAGCAGGGCGTTGCTGCTTGACCTGCGGTGTAACGCCCGTGGGTCAGTGTCTCCGCCTCGCCTCAAATATAACCCTCGTTTTGACCCATGCGTTTCGAGGCGTAATACTGGTACCGGCGCCCAAGGTTCAATTCCCGGCTGGGTCACATTCTCCGCCATTAGCGAGAACTCGAATGTGGTAACCCAGTTGCAAACCCAACGGACGATCCTCCGCTGGCCTGAGCCACCAATGAAGTCGCTGCCTGCATCACAGCGGAAGTGAGGTCCATGCGGGGGCGAGCTCCCTGAAGTTATGAACCAACGAGGACGTTGGCACCACCAGGGCCTGCGCGGATTACACCTAAGGGTTGAGTGCATCCGCTGCGACTCTAGTATAACCCTCGTTTTGACCCAGTGGGTAGCGAGGCGTTATATGCGGGACATACGACCCTCGGAGAGACAGTATCACACGGGATGGCACGCTCATACGCCGTTGCATGATGGCATTGGCCGCGTTGACGCTTTTATTAGCCGCTGCCACTCACTGCATCAACGTGTGTCTTTTGCGATTGAGATGTGCTATCGTGAGTCTCCTCATGCCTTGCTGCTTTCTCCCTTTCCTCAATCCGTGGCTTGCGCAGGGCGACGTGGGGGGCGGCTTGAAGGGCAACGGAGAGTCACACAGGGTAACGTCGGTGAGTGAGCGCTCCCGACAAGACGCTGCCGCTGCTGCTATTCTAGCACACTAGTAGTGAGGCCTCAGGCCAGTCGTTTTTGAAACGGTGGCAAGTGACAGTTGGCAAGTGACAGACAGGTGGCAAGTGACGGGTGGCAGTTAACAGTTGACCATGCTGCGTTGCATCCGCCCGATCTCTGGAGCTGAGCTGTTGGGTCGCCCTGTTGCCTTGCCGTTCAAGTGTATGCACAAAACGATAAGCTCTGTGGGTCGCCCATCAATCTGGCATACACTTGCCTTTCCCACTGCTACCTTGAGTTATCTTGCAAACCTTCACCTGCCTCTGCCGCCTGAATTCTCTGTCCTGATCGTTTCTGCATCCAGCTGTGGACCGTGTTTGCTTCCTACCTCGTTGCGTTGCTTGCAGGCAAGGGGGTAATCCTTTGCCTTTGTTTACTGGCATCTCAGGAGGAATCGTCTCCTCTCACGTGCTGCCTGCCGTGCCTGGTCGCTTGCATGCAGGGAGGGGGGTATTATCTGCCACTGGTGGAGTACGACAGCACGCTGGTCTCCACGGCCAACGGCACAATGGGCAACACCATGGTCAACTACAGCACCAACATCTACTCCGTCCAGATCCCCATCCCGTATGCGCCGCCATGCCCCTCTCGTCGCATCTCAATCGCTGCATTAGCCTCGCTGCATCCCTCCCTCCTCTGTGACATTTCACCCCTTTATGCACTTCCTCCCGCCAACCCCCCTCCTCCACCCGTCGCATACCTATCCCCACCAGCGTGTATCCGTACTACGTGAATCTCAAGCTGGGGTCGCAGAAGCAGGAGTTCAGCATGGCGCTCAACCTCGCTGTCCCGGACACCTTCGTGCCCTGCGACTGCCTGCACTGCGCCTCCATGCGCAAGGGGGTGCGTGGGGTTGCGCAAGGGAGTGTGAGGGCGAAAAGATGATTGCGGTCTGGGAGTGGGGAAGTGAGAGATTAAATGAGAGTGAAAAGGAGGATGATTGAGTGAGAATGCGAGTGAGCTTGATAATGAGTGCGAGAGAGAGCGAGTGTGAGAATCGGAGTGCGTCAGTGTATGGGGGGTTCCAATCTAGTCACAGCTGTGACTCCAATCTATCCCTTACCCCCTACTTCTTACAGCCTCCTGCTTACCCATGTCTGCATACCCCCTTCTGCATACCCCCTTCTGCATACCCCCTTCTGCATACCCCCTTCTGCATACCCCCTTCTGCATACCCCCTTCTGCATACCCCCTTCTGCATACCCCCTTCTGCATACCCCCTTCTGCATACCCCCTTCTGCATACCCCCTTCTGCATACCCCCTTCTGCATACCCCCTTCTGCATACCCCCTTCTGCATACCCCCTTCTGCATACCCCCTTCTGCATACCCCCTTCTGCTTACTCCCTTCTGCTTACTCCCTTCTGCTTACTCCCTTCTGCTTACTCCCTTCTGCTTACTCCCTTCTGCTTACTCCCTTCTGCTTACTCCCTTCTGCTTACTCCCTTCTGCTTACTCCCTTCTGCTTACTCCCTTCTGCTTACTCCCTTCTGCTTACTCCCTTCTGCTTACTCCCTTCTGCTTACTCCCTTCTGCTTACTCCCTTCTGCTTACTCCCTTCTGCTTACTCCCTTCTGCTTACTCCCTTCTGCTTACTCCCTTCTGCTTACTCCCTTCTGCTTACTCCCTTCTGCTTACTCCCTTCTGCTTACTCCCTTCTGCTTACTCCCTTCTGCTTACTCCCTTCTGCTTACTCCCTTCTGCTTACTCCCTTCTGCTTACTCCCTTCTGCTTACTCCCTTCTGCTTCTCTGCTTACTCCCTTCTGCTTACTCCCTTCTGCTTACTCCCTTCTGCTTACTCCCTTCTGCTTACTCCCTTCTGCTTACTCCCTTCTGCTTACTCCCTTCTGCTTACTCCCTTCTGCTTACTCCCTTCTGCTTACTCCCTTCTGCTTACTCCCTTCTGCTTACTCCCTTCTGCTTACTCCCTTCTGCTTACTCCCTTCTGCTTACTCCCTTCTGCTTACTCCCTTCTGCTTACTCCCTTCTGCTTACTCCCTTCTGCTTACTCCCTTCTGCTTACTCCCTTCTGCTTACTCCCTTCTGCTTACTCCCTTCTGCTTACTCCCTTCTGCTTACTCCCTTCTGCTTACTCCCTTCTGCTTACTCCCTTCTGCTTACTCCCTTCTGCTTACTCCCTTCTGCTTACTCCCTTCTGCTTACTCCCTTCTGCTTACTCCCTTCTGCTTACTCCCTTCTGCTTACTCCCTTCTGCTTACTCCCTTCTGCTTACTCCCTTCTGCTTACTCCCTTCTGCTTACTCCCTTCTGCTTACTCCCTTCTGCTTACTCCCTTCTGCTTACTCCCTTCTGCTTACTCCCTTCTGCTTACTCCCTTCTGCTTACTCCCTTCTGCTTACTCCCTTCTGCTTACTCCCTTCTGCTTACTCCCTTCTGCTTACTCCCTTCTGCTTACTCCCTTCTGCTTACTCCCTTCTGCTTACTCCCTTCTGCTTACTCCCTTCTGCTTACTCCCTTCTGCTTACTCCCTTCTGCTTACTCCCTTCTGCTTACTCCCTTCTGCTTACTCCCTTCTGCTTACTCCCTTCTGCTTACTCCCTTCTGCTTACTCCCTTCTGCTTACTCCCTTCTGCTTACACCCTTCTGCTTACTCCCTTCTGCTTACTCCCTTCTGCTTACACCCTTCTGCTTACTCCCTTCTGCTTACTCCCTTCTGCTTACTCCCTTCTGCTTACTCCCTTCTGCTTACTCCCTTCTGCTTACTCCCTTCTGCTTACTCCCTTCTGCTTACTCCCTTCTGCTTACTCCCTTCTGCTTACTCCCTTCTGCTTACTCCCTTCTGCTTACTCCCTTCTGCTTACTCCCTTCTGCTTACTCCCTTCTGCTTACTCCCTTCTGCTTACACTCTCTCTAAGGCAGACCGAAGCCTACCTTGTTGTGACGACACACGGATGAAATCAGTAAAGTTGCATTTTCTTTTTCGTTAATACAGCACATTGCTCATCCTTCCTCTAGCCTCACTTTCCCTCCCCTCCCATCCCCACCCATCACCCCATCCCCTTCCCGCCACATCTCCATCTGCCTGCAGACTGACTTCAGCAAGCCGTTCCCCGCTAGCCTCATCTCACGTTTCCCTCCTTCCCTTCCCCTGGCCCCTTCCCTTTCCCCTCCCCCTCTCCCTATCCCTCTCCCTCTCCCTCTCCCTCTCCCTCTCCCTCTCCCTCTCCTTTTCCCTCCCTCACCCTCTCCCTCCCCTTATTTCACGTTTCCTCCTTCCCCTCGCCTCTTCCCCTCCCCCTCTCCCGCGCCCGCAGACCACCTACAGCAAGCCCTTTAGCACGCTCTCCTCCACTACCCTCAAATACATTGCCTGCAGCGACCAGCGCTGCCAGGGGGGCGGTTACTTCTACGGCTGCAGCACAGAGGGGCTCCCCAACTACCTCAAAACCGTGGGCATGCTCCCCGGGGACGACAATCTCTGCGTGTACAGTGCATATAATGAAGGCTTCGACTACTACGAAGCTGACTATCGTGAGGGATCGTACATGTGGTCGGTGGGGCATGTGGTGGAGGACACTGTCTACCTCACTGCACCTGACGGTACCGAAGTCAACCGATCCATCATTTTCGGGTGAGACTCTCCTCGTCATGCCCGTCCTCCTCTCTATCGTGGTTCCTCCAACACAAGGTATCTCGATTGCTCACCTCTCCCTTTGTTATCTCCCTCACACTCCTTCTCTCTGGCCCCCCCTGTGGCCTCCGCAGCTGTGGAGTGAACCAAACGGGCCACTGGGGCATGCAGGGGTGGCAGTACGGGTCGTGGGCAGCTGGAGGCGTGCTGGGGCTGGGGTGGGGCAGCCCCTTCCTCTATCAGCTCACCGGCCTTGGTAACCCAAGCGCCTTTGCCGTGTGTCTGGAGGAGACAGGCAGCAGCCATCTCACCATCGGAGCCACCGGCCTCCCTGCCGGCGCCAGCTATGCCACCATGTAATCCCCCCGGCTCTGAACGAGTCAGCCCTGCTTTTAAGGTTCAAGATTCGGGGTTTAGGGTGTAGGCATCCACGCATCCGCCCACTTCATCCACGCATTCCCCGTGTGCAATCCCTCCACGCAGGGCCACTGAGAGGTGGGTCGGGATGCTGTACAGCCACATCACACTCACCAATGCCACGAGCGCCCTCAACATCACAGACGACCCTGCCTACGTAGACGGGGACTCATCCTTCCTACCTGAGGGCTTTCCTGAAAACATCACTCCGGGCTTCTCCTTCATGCCCGAGTCCTTCGTGCATCTCCTGCGCTACCCTCTCTTCACGAGCCTTATTGATGGGGTATATTCTCCTCACACTAAAATTGCCTGCATGTCTGGAAACCTGGTCAAGCCAAATTGGAAAAGTGCGTGGAGCTGGCGTGATTTTCGCTGCTTTTATGCGCTCGGTTATTTCGAGCTCTCTCATGCCGCTAGGACTGGTATTCTCTCCTTCTATTCAACTCCTAAGAGCACTCCAGATGAAAGAAGCCTCTTTGGAGTTGACTCAAACGAGAGGTGGCTGCGCGGGTGGGTGAGTGAGAAAGCCAAAGCACTTTCTGCTCTCGATTCATCCAGAAGCGGACTTGTTGTGTGCTGCTCGGACCACGGAGTTGGTTGACATTATTGTCATTGTGACAGCAATCTGGTTTCTTACGTGTGTATATGTGGCTTAGAAGTGGTCTGGCTTCTGGCTTAGCGGCTTTGGACGTGGTTCACTGTAGTGCAACAGGGCTGGTGTCCCTCTCATGCTCCTCATGTGCACGTATCCACTTCTCGTTGTACCCTCCCACACGTTGCATGTGTATATACATGTTTGTGCGCATGTGTGTGCGTGTGTATGTGCGTGTGCGTGTGCATGTGCGTGTGCGTGTGTGTGTGTGCATGTGCATGTGCGTGTGCATGTGCGTGTGTGTGTGCATGTGCGTGTGCGTGTGTGTGTGTGCATGTGCATGTGCGTGTGCATGTGCGTGTGCATGTGCATGTGCATGTGCGTGTGCATGTGCGTGTGCATGTGCGTGTGCGTGTGCGTGTGCGTGTGCATGTGCGTGTGCGTGTGCATGTGCGGGTGCATGTGCGTGTGCATGTGCGTGTGCATGTGCGTGTGCATGTGCGTGTGCATGTGCGTGTGCATGTGCATGTGCATGTGCATGTGCGTGTGCATGTGCATGTGCATGTGCGTGCGCAGATGCAAGCCATGACAGGGCAAGACATTCTCTTTGGAGATCTTTTTCAGCTTCCATGCTTCAGGTTAGTTAAGCTTTATTTCCACCCCATTGAGCTGAGAGGGCATATGTCAACCCCTCCACTCTTGCTCATCCTTCCAAGTGCCACCTCCGTGCACAACGCACCGCCCCCCCTCAAGCAGTCCGCAGTACATGCTGCGACTGCAAGGTGAGTGAGCCATACAGATCCAACCTCTGCGGGAGGATCGCCTCAAGCTCTTAGGCGCCCAAGTGCCCAACCCAAAGCACGTCAGGTGAGCCAACAGGTTGCTTGGCCAGAAAGGGCAGAATGTCCACCCAGCTGTACAAATCCACAGCCAGGGAAAGCAAGGCGGCATGATTTGTTCGGTTCTGGTATGCCGTTTGGTGTCTGAACCATTAAGCCACCTGGGAGCCTGGAATGGTCTTACCCAGTTCCCAGTTCCCACTATTAGTTGTGCGGCCCGCTCTATCTGCTTTCTTGTAACCAATCACTTTGGTTTGAAAAAGTGTGTGTGTGTGTGTGTGTGTGTGTGTGCGTGCGTGCGTGCGTGCGTGCGTGCGTGTGTGTGTGTGTGTTTTTTTTTTTTTTTTACTTTACTTTCTGACCCTTTCTCCAGTAAGTCCTCTGACCTCCTTGTCTCTCTTTCCCCCTCACTCGCACCACATTACCCGTCTTGCAGCATCGAAAACGAGGCAGAGGATCCGTTCACCACCTTCCCCACCATCGACATTGCTTTCATCTCGCCCGACAACACCACCTCCCACTTCTATCTCAAGCCGCGCGAGTACCTCACGAATGTATGGAGAGCATGCTTGTTGCTCATGGGCTCATCTTGTTTACCAGCCCATTTATCATGGCAATACAACTACCTCTCAACAGCAGCCTCGATTACAGCTTATTTCAACTCATCCAAACAGATGACAGACAGAGCAGGACAAACATGGAGATCATGTTTCAGTGGCCACTCGCTTGCTCTCTCCCCTCTCTGCTGCCCTCTCCCTTCTCTCTCTCCCCTCCTTTCTCCACCATTTCTACCCTCTCTTCCCTCTTGCGTCTCTGCTCTCCCTGTTCCTCTTCTCTCAACTCACATCCATGCAGTCCGCTGATTCACGTGCTCTCCCCATGCTCCGCTCTTCCATGCTATCTAAGCCCTACTTCGCCCTTGAGTCCGCAAGAGAACATGGGGAGAGCAACGAGTGTCAGATCCTTTGGCTGAAATTGCTGAGTCTCTGAATCGATCAGTGGCTGTCGCTTGAGCCCATGCCACTTCCCCAATCCCATGCGCCCCCCACAGGTTTATGGTCCTGATTACTGCGTTTTGGCCACCTATACTCCTTCAGAAAGAAAGGGGGTCAATTACATTGGAGGTGCGAGGGTTACCTACAGCACATTCTCACTCCTTTCTCCACCTGAGATTATGCCAGCAATATCTAATCCAATTTTGAAAATTCTTAGAAGTAACCTGAGTTTCTGCCAGCTCTCTTCATTCCCCTTTGTCCACCAACTTACTGCTGGGCCGTGCTGCCAATTCTCTGCCATCCACGACAACACGCCTCCCATCCGCCCGCTAGCCGAACCAAGCTGAGAACTCTGGGCAAGCATGGGTCTCCAAGCGTGGTTGCCTGCGGTGATTGTGATGTTTACTTCATCCTCGAGCCCACAAGCGGGAGCCCAGATGGGTTTTTATGATGTCATTGCCTTTCGCCCCTGCCTGCCCTTATCACTTCCCTGCCACCGTCACCACTCCCTTGTCCCCCTGGCCTCCACTTTGGGTGCATGTGGCGGTGAGCAGAGCCGGGGCTGGTCGGAAAGTACCTCTTCCTCAACCACAACGACGGGATTGGAGGATGGATGGACGCCCCTCACTGTAAGCTGCTGCTCACTGCCCTCAACGCCTGCCTGCAACTGCGGGCATCCCCTGTCCTTCACCTCTTACCACTGTGGTTTTGAAGCCGGCAAATCACTTACTTGCAACAGGGACACATCAAATCTTTCTGTCCGTGCAATATAATAGCATTCGAATTGCTGTGTTGTGCACAGGTGCTCTACCAATGTCAGCACGCTACCCCCTCTCATTTCGGCCCATTTCCGTGATTGTCTGTTGTGTAATTCTTGCTCGCTTTGGCCCTCACTTGCCTCACACCCCTTTCTGAACCTTCACTCTTCTCCTCTCCCTTCTCCTCTCCTCCTCTCTCCCCTCTTCTTCCATCTCCTCTCCTCTCCTCTCCTCTCCTGTCCTCCCCTCTCCTCTCCTCTCCTCTCCTCTCCTCTCATCTCCTCTCTTCTCCTCTCATCTCCTCTCCTCTCATCTCCTCTCCTCTCCTCTCCTCTCCTCTCCTCTCCTCTCCTCTCCTCTCCTCTCTTCTCCTCTCATCTCCTCTCCTCTCCTCTCCTCTCCTCTCCTCTCCTCTCCTCTCCTCTCCTCTCCTCTCCTCTCCTCTCATCCCAACAGGTGGAGCTGAGCCCCTGCTGCCGCCACCCTCCCCTCCTCCACCTCCCTCGCCTGTTTCCAAGAGGGCCACCCACTCCCTCTCCCCGCTGCCGGCAGCACTCTCAGCTGCCCTTGCCCTTGCCACCTCCGCCACCCTGCTTGCTCTCACTTTCCTGTAGAGCCTGGCTTCCTCCTGGAGCACTTAGCACCCGATTATTGCCTCAGAATTGTCCACTCACATGCTGGCCTGCTTGTGGGAGCTCATCAGTCATGTTGCCTGCTCTGAGTACTACCGTATCATACACGTCAAGGAATTGGTTGGATCCGTATTGAGCTGCTTAATATAACCTTTTGCTGCTGCCCCCTCTGAGGGCGGAAGCTGATTCTTGTAAAGTGGATCTAATCAGTGCTCCAAGTGGGACCAGCAAATGTAGAAGCACTTTCCTGGTGATGGCAACAATCGGTTGCAACAATTTATCATCATACCTGCTGCAATCAAGACTATTAGGGAGAATTCCTGTGGAGACACTTGTGTCTCAATCATTTTTTGACACCCAAAAACATGTAAAACTGCCTTGTGTCACAAACGCGGATCGCAGTAATGCGACTTTCACTGTATTTTACATTGGTTGGCGTGAATGGCGATGGTGTCGCGGACGAGTCATACGAGGCCCCGTCACATCCTAAAAATCGCACGCGTGTCGAAATGTCATGGTGTTGGCCGGCTCGACACCTGAAGTGGTGGCAGATTCGAGCGGGAAATGAACCCGCTCTGCCCGGGCAGACCAAAGAGTGGTGGTAACAGCCCACCATCGCACGTCCCTGCCCGCTCATGCACACCTTTCCCATCCTGTTGACACCTCTCCCTCCCCAATCTCTTCTTCTTCTCTTCCAACCCCAGCTATCGAATGTTGTTTTCCTCTTCCACAGATCTATCCTACTCCGTAGCCATGGCCCGTAAGCGCAAGAGCGCAGCTACTGCTACTGACCAGTGCCCGCGGGATCTCAACGAGATCCCGTATATTGCTTGGATGAACAAGCAGCTCGCGGCCGGACGCAAGCCCGGGGGCCCGTTGTCCGAAGGAAACGCCCGAGGCGGGGACACATCTTACCAAGCCCCGCGTGATGTCCCCACTCGCGGCCGCCGTGCGGCTGACCATGTTGCCTCCTCGCGCGTGGTGGACGATGCGGCGTTCGGTAGCGACGACGATGACTCGGACTACAACGAGTGCGACGACGGCACCGAGGATGACGCGGACTCTGGAGAGGAGGAGGACAAGGGCATGTCCGACTCTGAGGATGACGCCGACGCGGACGACGCCGACGCGGATGATGCCGACGGCGACGAGGATGACGCACCTGAGGAGGCGCAGCCCGCAGCACAGACGTCTCGTCGCGGCCGTGGTACTTCCGCATCCGGAGCCAAGACCGCCGATAAGGGCGGCGAACCACCTCGTGGCGCGGCCAAGACACGCAACCTGCACCCGGTGAAGCGCAGCGTTTGGTCCCCCCGCGAGAGCACCATTTTAGTGGCGGCTCGTTGGTTCATGAAGGACGAACTCGAGCCACTCATCGGCAAGCAAGGTTCACAGTACTGGGCACGCCTCGTCCGCCACATCAAGAAAGAGAACACCGGGTGGGTGCGCGGAGTGAACGCGGTGCAGGAGCAGTGGCGCAATCTGGTCACCATGTTCAAGCAACTGAAAAAGGGGGAGAAGGCCTCGGGCAAGGGAGCGGTGTGTAAGCCACCGTGGTTCCCGTACATGGAACTCTTCCAGAACAACAGGGCCGTGGCACACCCTCACGTCGTCGATGGAGGTGGTGCGACACACGTTAACGTGCCTTGCGGGTTCGCCGTACCGTCCACTTCCGCGCCGTGCACCTCTACTCCAACGTTCACCGGTGGGTTCCTTGCCCGTGTTCGGACGTTTGTTCGTTTTTTTCTTTCTCAATTTGAGTCATCACACGGGGTTTTTTTTAATAGTATACACATGCTTTACGCGACATGCCTCTAACAGATTCATGCGTCTCTACTACTTCATGGGTAACCGATCAGGTAGTCCCATATGATGCCTCGTGCATCACATGTCAGTTGCAGTTGCACGGCGTATGCGGCTTTCCTCGTGTAGTACTCTTGCCTGTGCCCCTCCATACCCTTCATATGAATGTGTGTCCCGTCTATAGCCCCCACGACAGCAGGCACACCCTTGATGGCGCGGAACTCCTCGGCCATCTCGTCGAGGTCGTCGCGGGTCCACTGCTGTTTGAAGACCGACGGGAAATGCATCAGCCACGCGTCGACAAGCGCATGGCAGAGGGTCTTGGACAACCTGAAGAGACGAGACATGTCTCCGTACGACAATCCACTGGCAAGGTACTTGATCGCCACCAAGCAGGCCACCTCATGGATGATGAGGTACCTTTCCACATATGGCTGCATGTAGTACACCATGCCGATGACAATGTAGTCGAGTATTGCCCGGTTTATCCGAAACAGGTCCCTAAACTCTCCTTCTCCCATGCCGTGCAGGTCCTCTAGCAACAGTTGGTACCTCTGCCTGCGCAGACTAGCCCTTCGCTTCCTCTCCATCATCCTGTTGGAGCCGTGGGAGGTCGATGTCGACGCGTCTTCGTCGGCGAAAACGTTGGCTTCCAGCAGACCGCCAACCGACCTACCGACGACGTCCATGAAGATAGAGTAGTAGAAGGTTATCCATGCGACTAGCAGTCGCATGAGGAAAGGCACTGCACGGGGCTGTGCCATAGTTGCTAGAGGTGTGACCAATTGTGGTCTGTGTTGTGTGTTCTATTGTAGTTGGTTTGGAAGGCAGAGTGTGACCTGTGTGATGTGTCTTCACAAACTCGACTTGCATCTTTGGCAAACTCCGTTAAAGTGGAAAACGGGACATTGTGCAAATTTACAGGCGCGACTCGGGAAAACGGGGATTGAGACACAAGTGTCTCCACAGGAATGTTCCCTTATTACAAGTGAGTCACCATCAACACGGCCAGAGCGAGATAGAGACACTATGAGGGGCATGCCGAAAGAGTACCAAATTCTCAAGAGTAGAATGCAACGGAATGATAAGTTTAGGAAACAAGGCAGTACAAATAGGCAACCCTAACTGTGTTATACTCTCTAAGGAGCAACTCACTACAGCCTATCACAAATATCAACATTTTGACACACCCCCATAGGCTAAGTGAGGGGCACCAGAACAAGCAGGGTGAACAAACGGTCACAAGACCAGTCAGCAAGAAGCAAAACAAGCTCAGGGTGGATCTCAAGGTCACCACACAAATTCCGAGCGCAAGCAAGCGGCCACAAGGCCAGTTCAAGAGTTCACTAGGATATATATAGGAAAGCACAACAAGCAGAGCAAGCAACAAGAATACAGCAACCGAGGGCCTACCTCAACAAGCCCCAACTGCACACAGAACCTGTGGTGGTCACCAAGCGCTAGGGCCTTGGTGAAGACGTCTGCAGTGATGGCCTCTGAGGCCACAAAGTCCAGGCGTGCCTGGCCGCGTCGCTGCAGCTCTCGCAGGAGGAAGTACCTCATGTCAATATGCTTCACTCTGCTCTCCAGTCGAGGCTCTCGACAGAGGAGGATCATGGCCTTGTTGTCAGCGTACAAGGTCGGTGCAGAGCGAGGCTGCTCACCAAGGTCGGCGAGCAAGAAGGTCAACCAGCGAAGCTCCTGTGCCGCCATGGCACCAGCGTAGATCTCTGCCTCTGCACTGGAAGTAGCCACAGACGACGACCGTGTAGACTTCCACGACACAGCACCAGCTCCCAGACTGAAGCAGTAACCCTGAGTCGAGCGCTGAGTCTCCACGTCGTTAGCGTAGGAAGAGTCGCAGTGACCAGTCAGCGCCACTGGCTGAGTCCCTCCAAGTACAAGCCCCATGCCTGATGTAGTCGCCAGGTACTTCGCCACCCTCACGGCAGCTGTCCAGTGGACAGGACGGTGTCTCCCAGTCGCAACAAAGCGAGAAAGTATGCTGAGGGGAAAGGCGAGGTCCGGCCGAGTACAAGTCATCAGGTACATGAGGCAGCCCACCAGCTCTGCGTAGGGACCACTGGACTCAAATGGCTCGTCGGGAAAGGGGCCAGTGAGTCCGTGGTCAACAGCAAGAGGTGTGGGCTGTGTGGTGGAGAGCTGGAAGTCGAACCGCCGAAGGACGTGCTGCACCATGTGTGACTGAGTCAGTGTGATGGTGCGAGCGGCTCTGTCCCTGGTGATCTGCAGGCCAAGGTAGCGCTGCAGTTCACCTAGGCCAGTGCACTTGTGTCTCTTCTGCAGTTCGGACTTCACCTGAGCCAGAGCTGCCCTGTCTGCTGTGGCAAAGACCAAGTCGTCGACGTACACTAGTATAAAGAAAGGAGTGGAACCAGTGCGAACAAACAGCGACGGGTCGGCAGAGGAAGGACAAAACCCAAGGTCACGAAGCGTGGAGCGAAGAGTGTCGTGCCACTCACGGGGCGACTGGCGGAGACCGTAGACTGGCCGTCTCAGGCTCCACTGGGTCCCAGGTGGGAAGGTGTCAGTGAAGCCAGGAGGGCGGCGCAGCCAGATCTCCTCATGTAGTCTGCCTTGGAGAAACGCAGTAGAGAAGTCAAGGGAGTGCAGCTCGTACTCTCGCTGTGCTGCTACGTGCAGTAACACCCGAAGAGTAGTCATCTTCGGGGTCGGGGCGAAGGTCTGGAAGAAGTCAACTCCCTCACGCTGACTGAAACCCCTAGCAACGTAGCGCGCCTTGAACACAGGCGGTGAGCCAGGCGGCCGCTTCACCTCGAAGAGCCACATGCCATCGACTACGTTCGCCCTGGGAGAAGGAACTGCGTCGACGTAGGTGCCTGTGGACCTCCAAGACGCTAACTCCGAGGCCATAGCCGCTTTCCACTGAGAGGCCCACGCTCCTGACACTGCCCCGCGGTATGTACGAGGAGTTGGTATGTCAAGGGCGCCGGGGTCTCCCTCAGGGGATAGCAGCATGGCACAGACAGAGGGAGAAGCAGCTGCCCAGTACTCCAGCTCAGACTCTCTGTCCTCTAGGACGTCACAGCCAAGGGCAAACTCACCCCCGACAGACAGAGGACGGGAGGGAGGAGCTGGCACCACACGGGTGGTGTCGTCAAGGCGAATGGCGGCAGCAAACTCAGCGACAGCGGCAGTGAGAGCCGAGACAGACGACGGAGGGAAACGAGAGGCGGTGACAAGAGTGGCGAGGACACGAGAGACAACATGACGAACAGCGCGGTAGTAGTCAGTGACAGGAGTAGGGGGGAAAGGGAGAGAGGACGAAGGAGGAGACGGGAGAACGGACTTAGGAGGAGGACGACAAAGAGACGAACAAAGGAGGGCAGTGCGGAGGTCGGTAACGGGAGACGAGGGACGAGCACGTGGAGGACAGGGACGGACACGAGAGTGTGGGACACCAGGTGGAGGAGACTGCGGTGGAGGAGAAGACCAGACTGCCAGACTGTCGTCAGGAGGAGGAAACGTGGGACGAAACGCTGGAGGGGACGGAGTGTGAACAGGAGGAGAGGAGGGAAGACCAAGGGCCCGAAGGCCACTCACGGGTGGGAACAACTGCCGCTCCAGAGGGAGCTGCGGTGGTCGCGGCGGCGGCGGTGGTGTCTGCTGCTGCTGCTGCTGCTGCTGCTGCTGCGGCGGCGGCTGCTGCTGCGGTCACTGCTGCTGCTGCTGCTGCTGCTGCTGCTGCTGCTGCTGCTGCTGCTGCTGCTGCTCCAGCAGGTCCAACTGCCGCAACTCCTGCCGCTCCCTCTCCAACAGCACCTGCTCCTCACGCTCACGCCGACGGGCCGCCTGGAGACGCGTGTCGTGGCGGTGGGGAGGCGGAGTGGACTCCGCGAACCAGGGTCTCCAGCCCCAGACTCCTCAGAACCAGCACCTCCAGTGCCAGCGCCTCCAGCACCAGACCCCCAGAACCAGCACCTCCAGCTCCAGCACACCCAGAACCAGCACCTCCTGTGCCATGACCTCCAGCTCCAGCACCCCCAGAGCTAGCGCCACCTGCGCCAGCACCTCCAGCTCCAGTCCTTCCATCCATTTCCTCAATTCTCAACTCCTCACTTTTCCACACCAACCCACACCACACGCACACAGGTAGGGTTGTGCAATGTTCCGAGCTGCAGCTTGTTTATCCCCAAAAGGGTTCGATTCGAACCTGTAAAAATTTGCGGTCAATTGTTTGGTTCATTTTGACCATGTGTGCCGAGCCGCGTCAAACCAAAAGCTGTTATGAAGTGCTTGTTTTCCACGTGGTCGGACCAAACCGCTGCCAGTTTGACTTGACTCCTAGAAAGTTCAAGGTCGAACCTCAAACCCAAACTTCACCCCGTTTTTTTAGTTAGACTGCGGGCCATGTTTGACCTTGTTCAACAAGGGTGGAAAATCTAAGCAGCAAAATTGGCCGTTAAAAAAATCGGTAAAACATTCTGGTTTTATTCTGAAAATTCTCTCAAAAGTTTGTTACACCTTCGTAAGAAAGAGAATGGGAGAAGATGGCGTGCACCAATGCATGGTGTGAGTGCGACTAGGGGCGAACAGTTCGGAGCGTTGCACTACACCGCACTAGCACTGAAAGTGGTCCACTGCATCGCACTGGTGCGCTCCAAGTCGACCAAATCGCTGTGATCCTGCACCACGTCCTAAGCAGGACGAGTGGTGGCACCTATATTGGGCTATGTAGGGACTTCAGTTTCATTGGCTAAAAGTCCATTTATTTTGTGAAGGGCTGCTTGCACCGCGGGCCAGAACCCCCATATGACATTCTCTCTATTTTCCGATCTGATGCAGTTTGTGATTGCTTCTACTCAGCTATAGCATTGAAATGAACTTCACTGAAGCTAATGACAAGCCAGCATTAGGGTCGTCTTTCTCTTTTTCTCCCCGTCAACTCCCTCCCTCTCCTTTGTCTTGCATGGGCTGCGTTTCATGGTCTATCAGGAGTTTACAAGGCAATCGCTTGGTTGGGTCCATTCCATCCTCTCTCAGCCGCTTGATCAACCTGGTGAACCTGTGAGTATCATGATCCATGAAATCAGTTCTAGGCTATCCCAGCTACAAACTACCATTGAAACCTTACAGATTTGGAGTTT